CTATCTCCCTTTCTAATCCCTCCTCTTCCTCAGAGAGAGAACTGAGGTCCTCAGGATCCTTTTTGGGCTTAGAAATCTGGAGGCGTTTCTTACTCCCTGAGCCCGAGTCCTCAAGAGGACCCTCATCCTTTAAGGATTCTGCCATTTGCTCCTCCTGCACCTGATTAAGGGCCTGTTCACATTCAGCAAGCTGATCCTTGATCTTTACTTTATCTGTTAATAAAGCATCCTTTACCAACCTCCATAAGGAAAAGGTGGCAACTGGGACACTGTCTGAGCCCCGGTCCCTCAATAATTTCTGAAGGTCATGTCTCACCAGGTCCCAGTCACTATTATTAAGAAATCCTCCTGTCAGAAACCAAGGACAAGCCTGGGCAATAATTTCAACGAATTCGGTTGCAGTCTTAGTTTTTATTCCTGTTCCTTGTGTATTTAACAGCTCTTTCAGTTCGTTGGCCAGACGAACCTTCGCTGTTGCGTTACCCATGGTACGTACCCTGTCTCTTTAAATTATCTTTAAACCAATCCTCCCCCTTCTTTCTTAGAAGGTGAGCCCCGTCCGCTTACCCCTGCTTTCCGGATCTCGGTGGGAACCTCCAATTGCCGCGTCCGGCCAAGGGAGCCGAGTCTGGCGAGGGACGGCGAGGTTAAAAGACACACAGGACACCAAGGTTCTTCATCCAGGAGTCAATAATCTTTATTGCTAACACACCTTTTTTTATACCCCAAGCAGCAGAAGTGGAAAACTACCCAAAAGCAGGAGGGAGGGGGGAGAAATTTAGTTTCAACATCTATTATTGTCAGGTACCGAAACCTCCCTTAACAATAAGTCCATCAGACCAGAAAAGGTCAAGGCATTCCCGTGGGATACATATGTCTCAGACGGACAAGCAGGAACAGAAAAACCGCAAGTTCGCCATGGCCTTGTGAGCTGGCCACACTGGCATGCAGAACAAACTAGTGGAGGTAGGGCTCCAGGGGCCAGGGTGGATCTGTTGCCAACAGTGGTGTTTGAGTAACATTCATTTTGATCGAACTGTTTTGTGTGCTTTAACTATTTTGTATTGATTTTTTTTACTTAAATTATTTTATGTACACTTTTCCACAAAACAGACATGATGCATGTATCTGTCATCTTAAATGGTTTATAGCATGATGACATGTTGCTCATCAGTTTCCTTCTCTGTTTTTTGTTAACCTGTAAGTCCTATATTGGTAGAAATCAATGTTTTGCTGTCATAAATAAGATTCATGTGAACTTTCCCAACTCTCATAATGCCTTGTCTCCCATTTCCATGTTAGAGGTCATTTGTAAAGCAATAGGCCTTACTCAAACCTCAAACCCATAAAGGGGAAATTGTAACTAAGCACAGTCAATTTGATAACCAAGTTGGATAATAAATGACTAATGAGCAGAGGCATGTACAGTGCAGGTTCACTGGACAAAGGGATGATTCATGTCCCAGGAAGGACAGAGCAGAACTGTGGGAGATTTCATCACTCTACTCCATATGGCCTGCAACCAAAACTTATCAATTGTTTACTTCTGGAACTTTCCCCTTAATATTTTTAGCTCACAGATGACCATGGATAACTGAAACAATGGAGAGTGAATTACTGGACAATGGGGGACTACTGTATATGAATAAGGAAAATTTGTAGTGTATCAAATGTTTATTGGTTTGAACACTGGAGTACTCACAATTTACAAATGAAATAGCAGGGAAAGAGTGGGAAAGAGGAACTGAGAAGGAGCAACCTGTGAAGTGGGATGTAAGCAAGAAGGTGAGAGAGAAAAAGCTTCTGGTGATATGTGTTGGGTAAGTGTCTGAGGACTAGGATTTTAGGAGAGCCACCAAGATGGTGAAGGTCTGGGTGGACTGTGATGTTCAGTTCTCTGTTATGTGTCCCTGGAGGTTACACAGTCCTTTGAGGGAGACCTACAAAGCCTATGCTGGTAACTAACAGCTGGGAAGGGAAGGGAATAATTTTGAACCCAGGAGTCTATTCTGCCCTAGGAAGGAGTCCCTGAGGGCCACCGTAGCCTTAAAGGCTGTGGTGGGGTGTTTTCCTCCCCGCAGGTGGGCAAAGAGGTTTGCCGGACAATCAACGGCCAAATCCTCCTGACACCACCTTTGGGTTTAGGACTCCAGGAAGGGGAAACTCACCAATCGAAGGTCGGTGGTGGATGGAGTTCTGGCAGTCGAGAAAATGGGTTCAGGCCTGGGTTCAGGCCATCTGGTGAGTGGCACTTCCGAAGGAAGGGGGACCCAAAAGTGGGTTTTAACCCTCTCCCGGGTTTCGGCACCAATGAAAGGAAAGTGACCACAACACTCAGAGCAACCAAAAGATCTTTATTGAAGCAGTGCAACAAAGAGAAAAGAAAGAAGGAAAGAAAGAGAGAGAAAAGAGAAGAGATGAACAGGGAGAGAGCAAGAGCAAGAGAGAGACAGAGAGCGCGCGTAAGAAAGATAAAGAGCAAGAGAGAGAGAGCAAGAGAGAAAGAGCAAGAGAGAGAGAGAAAGAGCAAGAGAGAGAGCAAGAGTGAAAGAGCAAGAGAGAGGGGGGCCTGGCAGGAGGGAGTTTTTATAGCCCAAATCTAATGGGGCCTCTGGGTCTGCAAGCTGCCTTGTTGGCCAAAGGGGGGGTTAAGTGTTCAGCTTTAAGCAGGGTTGAATGTTCAGACTTGAGGCAAACAGGTGATAAAGGACCAGATAGAGGGGGGTTTGAGTGCATGGGCTATCTTGCAGCCAACATCTGTTCAGCCTGCCCTGCAGACAACACAGTTCAGCCTGCTCTGCACCCAACAATATGAAGTGGGTCACTTAGCTAAATGCTGATGAGAGATCAAGTAGGAAGAGCAGAGAGCAGATGATCACTGGAATTGCACCCAGGAGTCATGAGAGAAGTCCTAGGGCAGCAGGCTGAGTGAGACAGAAGCCAGACTGGAAAGAGCTGAAGACAGAGGTGGGGCTACGCTTCTCCCCTAGAAGTCTTGCCATAGAGACAGCAGAGTCATGATGAGGTTGTACTTGGAGGGTGGTGTAGGGTCAGTGGAATGTTCTTTGTGGGATGGGAGGATGCTGAGGCCCTTTGCACAATAATGGAGGTGATGGAGCAGAGAGGGAGAAACTCAGCTTAGCTTGGAATATCTGTCGCTAGAGATAGGACAGAGGCTGCATGTGGAGATGCTGCCTTTGCCAGGAGCAAAGGCCCTTCATCCCAGAAACAGTGGGGAGGGGCGGGGGGAGGAAGGGTCAGTGAGGGGAAGGTGTGACTGCTGCTTTGTGACAGGGGGAGAACCTTGTATTGCTTCTTTGAAATGGCTTTTTTTTTAAAAAAAAATGGTATATATAAGCAAAGATTATCTGCTAAGAGCAGAGGATGGTGGAAGATTAGTGGGCAGAGAGGGTATCAGATATGTGTGTTGGGGCTCTCAACAAAGAATGGAAGAAGTGAAATAATCATAGTCATTTTAGAGAGGGAGACAACACCACAGAAGGAATCCAGAGAAGTGACTTGGATGGCCATGCTGACTTGAGGCACATATGAGATTCATGGTTATGAATTTAAAGTGAGATTTATTAGCATACTTGTTCTTTGTAGAATTTGTGGATTTTCCTCCAGCAATAGCCAGCTATTTAAGTGCAGGTGAGAATATAGAAGAAATTTAAGTCTTTTATCTTTTCAAATATGTGTAATTTTTTTCTTGAGACACTACATAGGTCTAAACAAAGACACACAAGGAAGAAATGCAACCATTTAATGATAACATTTGTAATTTTTACATATGCATAATTTCACTCCTGTGGTTAATTTAGTAATGCAAGCAATAAAATTGGGGAACAGCAATAGCCCATTTAATCCCTCATAATGTTTCTACAGTCAGCAAGATGCACCTAAGTGCCCTTTAAAAAAGATTGATATATAAATTGTGAGTCTCTTTGCTGTATAAATGCAATATTTCAAGAAAATACTTAAACAAAAGGCCATAAACTTTGTGCGAACAAAATTCTTAATTCAGTCAGTATCCATCTAAGCCATTTGGCACTCCACTCCTTTAAAAAATTTTATGCTGTCAACAGAGTGTTTATTTTTCATATTTTTGGATATAACTATGTGGATGGGAGGCATTGGATGCCTACACAGCTTGGATTTTGCCTAAGATCAATTGATTTTAAGATGGCCTTTTGTTATACTTTTATATAGTACTGGGAAATACTAGTATTTCATTAACGAAAAACTGTACTGGTGATGTATTGGATAATCAAGTTTGCAGATAAATTTTCACCAGCATTACCTTTATTAGCAAGCTGAAAATGGGGGTTCACTACCAAATTATAGACACATTAGTAAATATTATGGCTATTATGAGAAAGGTTATATTTTGCTCTTGCTACTGTAAAAATGCTATTTGTTTGAAGGGGAAACAATGGTAGTGTGAACTTTCAATTAAATACAACTCCCTTATTATGGTGAAGACAAAATGAGCTGAAGAAGGAAGGAAAATTTTGCAGTTACACTCCACAGCCCTGAATGTACTGAGAGAGGTTGCGATTTTGACAACGATTTCTCCATGCCACCCTGCAGAGAAAAGGGAAACACACAAGCAAAGGTTAAAACATATCTGCATTGTAAAGTGTACATACTCAATTCTTTTTGTGGGAGCAAAAGATCCTATCCATAAATATCATTCAGGTTACAATTAGACCCAGGTACTGCTACTGATTAAGTGGAGATGAGTATACAAGATGCTTTGCTCATCCTCAGAGGCCTCCATAGGCACAGAATGCTGAACACAAATGTTGAGCTATGTGCATGGCCCATTTCTTATTCCACAAATTGTTTCAAATATGACAAGGAGACCAACATGGGGTGCGTGCCTGTAACCATAACTGCTCAGGAGGCTGAGGCAGGAGGACTACAAGTTTAAAGCCAGCCTTAGCAATTTAGTGAGGTCCTGTCTCCAAATAAAAAATAAAAAAGGATTTCGGGGTACAGGAGGCGGCCGTGGAGTTGTGCGCGGCGGAAGGGGACGCGGGGCGCGCTCGGGTGCGCAGAAGAAACGCTTTCTCCGCTACCTCGGCTCCCGGCACGTTTGGGACCCACGAGGCCGCCGCATCCTGCTTTGGAACAATGGGACTCGGCGCGCGAGGTGTTCGGGCCGCGCTGCTCCTGGGGGTGCTGCAGGTGCTGGCGCTGCCGGGGGCCGCCGCGGACAGCTCAGCTCCGGCGGAGTCTCCCAATGTGCTTCTGCAGAACTCCAGTGCTAACTCCCTAGCAGATAGTATGCATAACAACTATACATCTGAATCTAACAGCAGCACCACTGTGAAACCATCACCAACTTCAGTTTCCTTGGCCTCAAAAAATGTGACATATGTCACCATCAAACCAGTAATGACTTCTAAAATGGCAACACCAGGGTTCTCAACAAATACGACTTCCACTACTTTAAAGTCAACATCCAAAGCAACAAGTGTTTCACAGAACGTATCCCAGATGTCAACATCTATGACAACCACAACTCAAAATAGTTTAGCGACATCATTAACAATCACAGCAACCATTCATTTTAATGAAAAATCAAAATTTGACACTGGCAGCTTTGTTGGTGGTATTGTGTTAACACTGGGCGTTTTATCTGTTCTTTACATTGGTTGCAAAATCTATTATTCAAGAAGAGGCATCCGATATAGAACAATTGATGAACATGATGCCATCATTTAAGGAAATACAAGGACCAAGGAAAGAAGAAACATTGATACAGCCCTGTTCACTTTGGTTTTACTACTTTAAAACAATGCTCTCTTGAAAATAAGAAAAAAGCATAATTGGACCACCATGCATATAATACAAAACCTGTTACATAAATGTGCATAGATTTTTTTTCATCATTGCTATAGGTAAAAAGGGCTTGGTTAGGTATTTAAATATTTGGAGCTTATAGATAATTTATACAGTGATCATACTCAATTTTAGCAAATACATAGTAAGACAAGACCTATCTCATTTTTTGTGGCATTGGTTCCATGGGACCAGTAATTGAAAGACAATATCACCAAAGGGCAGGCTGCCATCTGGGTGCACAAATAAGGAGATTGTCACAACACAAAGAACTTCAGTGCTTTTCTGGAGCTGGATATATCCTAATTACTGATGCCACACAGCAGAAATTACACAATTGAGTAAACCAGGTCTGAAACATAATTTAAGAAAGCATCAACATTTGTTTTATAGTAGTTAGTCTAGAAACAATACATACTCCCCCAAAATAAAATCTTCAACTAAAACCCTAAACACCCTATTGATGATTCATTAGAGAGCATGTATTTTTATTAATTTCTTTTTGAACTTTCAGTGTTAGTTTGATAAAATCTTTTTTTCTCTGTAATTTAGGCAAATGCAGTGTTTTAACACAATGTTTTTAAAACTCAGTTGTAAGACTAGCATTATAGGAAAAACCTAGATTATTTGCTACTGTGATAATTTTGTCACCACTGGAAATTGCTTTTATTTCATATTCACTTGATTTTATATTTAGTGACTATTTTGAAGAAATGTAGAGCTGCTTTCAAAACCTAGAAATTTTTAATAGAATGTAAAAACATCTAACTTTTAAAAAGCTCCATTTTTTCCCAAAATAATATTTAGAACCTTGTATTATCAAAACTGTAGATTAATGCTGTTTTAAACCAGGGTTTATGGGCTCTCCCCAGGCTACTAAACCTGCAGGATGAAAGTACTGCGTTTTCATACACTGTTAACTTGACTCAGATTTGGGGAAATGACATTTTTATACTTAAGTACATTGTTGGAGTAAATTCTTATTTTAATCAGGAAATTTCCTGCTTCCTTTTGGGTATTCACCTAGACTACTCCACTATTTAAGAGGAGTTACTCTCAGATGCACTATGTTAATGAAGAGGAAAAAAGCACAGTATTTTTTTTTAATTACACATTATATTTTGGAGTGTTTTTAGTTTTACAGTTTATATTCCAGCACTCAAACTCAGGGTGAACTTTTAACAAGAGTTATTTAGTCACTAAATACTAAGATAATATTTCTATCTTAGAGGGCCAAAGTAAATCACACCAATTTCTGACAGGTTAAAAATATGCTAAGATTTCTTAATGAACATGATAGGAACAAAAGATAAGGTAACTTTTGTGATCAGCTTGTGGTTTGCAGAGAATGACAATGTCAAGAATTTGGTATAAAAGGATCATGTCTACTTGCTGTGCATTTTGGCCTAATGTGGTGATATGGATAAAAACTATTCAAAATATGGATATCATTGGATCTGTGACACATGCAATATGGAGGAAATTTTATGAAACTTGTATGGTTAGATTAGTTTGAAATGTGGGCTGATGGGTAAGTTTATGTTATTACTAGGCCTTAACTGGTTGTGCAAACACTGCATTCATTTCTTTGCAACATATAGTTATGATATGCTTTATAGTGGTGAGGGCCTTTTCAGTTGAACTTGTTTTATCTCTTGCATTCTTGATATTTCAGTTACCAGCCTGAAGTTTTTCTTGAATACTTACTTCTTTAGCACTTTGAAAACAGAAAACCACTTTTTAAGTACCAAGTGTTTAAACTTTGCCTTGCAAGTTTGCTTTTTAGGTTGGGAATATTGTAGTTATGTTCTTTCTGTCTGTAAGCAGTATAATTTGTTACCTTCAAATATCAGTACTTTCAGTAAAGTTTTTTTTTTATATCTGCAGAAATTGGAAAAAATCAGTAATATAAAACAATATATTACTTTGGAACACATTTCAGTAAGCATAAATTTATCTTCTGTTTACTTACACAAATGCTTAATTTTCTTTGCATTCCTTTAAAATGTACTTATTAAATGTTTAAATATCAGGCAGAAGCCATGCTTTGATTTTAAAACTTCTCTGGATAATCCATAATAGGAATAATTCAAATAGAAAGTTGGCAGTATACAGTGATAAAATTTGTATTCTCAGAAAATTTTTTTAAAATTCCTGTTAACTTTTTTTTTTCTTTTATAATGACCAGCTTTTGGTATATCATTGTTACTGAGATCTATTTTTAGAATAAAATTTGTTCTCTATTTAAAAAAATAAAATAAAATAAAATAAAAAAGGACTGGGGCTGTGGTTAAGTGTCCCTAGTTCTATCCCTTATACAAACCTCCCACTCCCCCGCCCCTAAAAAAAAAAAAGATATGATAAAGAACTAGTATAGGGTGGAGAATATTTAAAACTCTAGAAATCCCTAAAATCCACTGAGGAGTAAACGGGCAAGACCGTGAACCAATTCAAGCAGATTGTTTCTTCTGATGGAGGTAATACATTGTGTCCCTTAGGCCCAAAAGGGCAACTTTACATTCAGAAGGACACTTAGGTCTTTGAATTTTTTCTCTCACTGCATATATGAACAGTAGGGTAAAACAGTTTCCCCTTTCAAACCTTAAAACATACCATGCTCTAATGCCTTGTGGGTCACGGACAACCCTCTTTGCGCAAGTCACGGCTTGAGAGATGTCATCTTGCAACAGAGCTGGAAGAGAGGTGGTGAGGCATGAAAAGGATGTTCTAGCAATTTCATTAGAAGTTTACCCTTATTCAGTTTTATTATGTTAGGCAGAGGAAGCAAACCAAGAAGTTCTTTTCCAAGAATTTATATATCTGTGATTGTTGTGAAAAACTTCCTTTTAATTCTTTTCCTTGTTGACATGAAATAGCACATTGTTTCTCAGTTTCTAAATTGTTGGAGGCCCTCAATTATTATCTAATATGACAAAAGGTCTTCTTTGTACACTGTGAAAAAAGACAAGCCCAGAATTTTTTACTCAGGAATTCTACCATTGATGATTTATCTCAAAGAAATAATAAGAAGTCTGGGGATATGGCTCAGTGGCAAAATGCACAAAAATGAAAAAGAATTTAAAGAGAGAGAGAGAGAGAGAGAGAGAGAGAGAGAGAGAGAGAGAGAGAGAGAGAGAGAAATATATTAAAACCTCACATGATGTGTAATCAGGAAGCTATTTATAGCAATTTATAAAAAGGAAAAGTGGAAAAAACTTATTAGTGGAATTCTCTTTACCCTTTCAAATAATAATAATAATAACATAGATTTGTATGAGTTGATATGGCAATAATTTTATGTGATGCAAATTGTAGAGCAGGATAAATTAAATTTTTATAAAAACATTTGTATCTGGCTATGTATATGTGTGATATAACTTTGATTTGATGTGTATAATTTACACGTTGATGTACATTCTGAAAGAGTATATACCAAAAGTTATCCATGGTTATAAATCTCTAGGTAGTAAGACTGCGGATGCTATTTCATCTTGCTTATATTTTCTAAATATTATTCAATGACCATAGATTATTATATAATACAGAGTAATTTTAAAGCAAATCAGATAGGTTAAAAAATATTTTAAAACTGATCTACACTTTGGAATTTTAACATTTAAAATTTTTAAAATATCAAGTCTGCAATATGTATGCACTATTATATGCACTGAAAATTGCACATGCTATTTCTATTTTCATGAGTTCAGGAGTCTAGTACTCCCATACCTTATATATGTAATGCACCTTGTGAGTTCTTTTTCTTATTAAAACATAATGTTTCATCCCAAGTACATAAATACGTAAGGTAATGTTTTAGGTGTGATAATGATTATTTAGGAATTGTATATTTTGGAGATTCAAGCTAGAGGATTTAGAAATAAAATGTCAATGTTTCTAATTCACTTTTAAAATCTCAGCAAAATCTGCATACACATACAAGTAAAATCTATGGAAAAATGTGAATAACTATTGAAAGTGCATAGTCATCTGGGTATTCATTATATGAAAACCTAGCTTTTTACATATTTAGAATATTTAATAATAAAGCATAAAACAATCAAAAAAGGACCACACAATGAAATAATCCTTAAGCTATTTTAATCGGATATATGGAATGGCAATGTTGTGGAATAGCATCAATAAGGTCATTAACAATAAATGAGCAGACACTCTACCACCGAGATGGACTTTTTCTAATTCCCTGACAAATCCTTCAAGGCTATTGCATTCACTTGAACATCTGTTCTTGTAAATATATGCAGGTAGTTCTTGAGCCATCACTCAAATATTATCTTGTCTTACCGCTGCAGGATATACCACAGGCATTAACTGCTCTTGGGGTTTTGCCATCATTACACCAGTAGCGGCTATTGATCTGGAATATCCCATAGTCAGTACTTCCGCTTCCAGGGTTGTAGTTTGTAGCTCTGGTGTTGTAACTACTCTCCCATTTGGCCAGACACACCCCTGAAAAGAAATAGTTTTTTTATAATAAATAGCAACACCAACTGATTTATATACTGTGTATCAAAACCAATTCTATGCAACTAATTGTATTTTACTAGTGATTTATTTTGTAAGTACAAGATGTGTTTAATTCATAAAATATGGTAACAGGTTAGGGTTGTTTTGTTGTTTGAGACAGGGTCTCACTGAGTTCCCAGGGTGGTCTCCTGGGCTCAAGTGATCCTCCCACCTCAGCCTCCCAAGTAGCTGGGACTACAGGTCTGAGCCACCATGCCTGCCTGCCTCAACACCTTTGTTATAGAGGGTTCCTAGGAAAATCCTTTTGTAGCACAAATCAGTTTATAAGAATGTGAAGCAAGATAAGGTATTTTAAAAAATATTTAAATTGCTGTTTTTCCATTGCTTTTACCTTGCCCTGTTCTCATGTCTCAGACAACATTGAGCCTAGAAGAGAAAATGGAGCTATTGAGAAGGTTGTACAAATTCATAGCAGATACATAGGCTGATGGGAAAATGCTTAATAGAAACAATTAAGGAATTTTCTGAGAGAGATTTTCTTGTAATACATAAAGGTGAATTGGGATGTTAGCTTTGAATCTTGAAACTAAGAATTATGGAATAGTAAAGATATTCAGTGATTTTGTTCAACCGCCCATTCATGTACTTACTTGCTCATTCATTTACAAATAGCTGTGGAAGGGAAATGTTTGAGGTCAATCTGAAAAGTACAGAGATTGGAGAATATGAAGTATGCTGTAAAGTAACTTTTCCTCATGGCACATTTTGAATGTTGTGGAAGAAATTGAAAATTAATCAACCTAGAATGAATCATGAAGCATTTCATGCTGAATTTTAGGAATCTTTATATAAATAGTGAATGGGGTGGGGAATGGGTTCCTAGGGTTTTTTGGAGAATTCAACATAATTTTATAGTATTTTGCTGTGAAACATACCCTGTCATAGCAAGGGGTTTGTTTTG